ACGTAAATTTTGCTAGTTACACGCTTAGAACCACAACGTTCCTATACGTTCGCACTCATTCATCGACCCCGCTACAGAGGGATCAGCTATAAGGAAGAACACTGACACGAAATCTGAAGGCAGCAACAGGCTAACAGCGTTTAAGGTTCAGCACCGCTGTGCCGCAATCTTAAGACGCCACCGCTTCGCAACCTCACCTTTCATGAAAGAAAAGCTGTGATACCCTTAGCAAGGATAAAGAAGCGCATCCACCTATCCCTCCAGCTTGACAAAGGGAGATGCACGCCGTAATTCTGAATACAAGTGATTAACCATGCTAAGTTGGCCACTGCCTTTAACTGACAGCTAACTACCAATATCGAATATGAAGCGAAGCGACCCGCCAGTGGTACAAAAGTAAAGGCCTCAATCTGAATGACCTTCAAAAAACTACAAACAAGATGAGCCTCCTTGCACCAGCCGCCACAATACCTCCGTTCTCTATCCTCAGGACGCGCAATCCCATGCCTACTATGGAACTGCCCATTCTCAAGGTCCATAGACAGGAAGGGGCACGCCTTCCGAGCGCCATGCGTAAGCAGCATCAATTCAGTAACGCTAACAATTGCGCTAATAGCTTGTAGCCAAACATCTGTAGCCCCCTTGTTGGTTGGCGAAGCACACCACATCATGTTCGCGGAAGCTCGTTAGACTTTGTAAATAAATCAAAAGGTTGAAATGGCACAAGATGAAAAACCATGTTGTCAACGATGTTGACCTCCTTATTCACCTGTATTAACCATGGAGTGCAGCTTGGAAAACTGGCATCAGCAGGAGACCCACGAGAAAGTCTGAGACAGCCAGAGAGAGGAGGAGGATGTTAGTGGGAGTGTGGAGCTGCCTGGAGGGAAAAGAAATACATCATTAAAACATAGTATACTAAAGTGTAGTCAATTTAAACTACAATACAAAACTGTCACCAAGGTAGGATATAAGTCTAGTGCCAAGGTGCAACAAGCTCTAAGATCATTCTCCTTGTACATCTACAGAAGCTGTTCAGCTGAAAGGTTTGTCTGCCTGAAGTGGGAGATTGAGACGATGACGAGCAGGTTGAGAGCGACAGTGAGGAGAGAGATGGAGGACAGTACAATGTGAAGGAGCACAGCTTCAGGCCAAGGAGAGGCAGGCTTCCTGCAGGAGGTGTTGAGGAGTAGTGGAAAGCAGAGCTCTGCTCCGACCTCAACCTCCATCTTCAGAGAGCTGCAGCTCTGGAAGCTTTCTGAACAAAACTGAGTCATATAACTGCTTCACCTCTCCCACATTCACTAGATTTGTCCCCTCCTCCCTGTCTCTGTACATCACATCATCTTCATCACTTTCCCAGAAGGCCAGCGTCTCATTGTCTCTCCTATCCTCCTCTGTTTATTCTCTACCATTGTCCATATGTCCCTTTGTACTGAGACACCTTTGGATGGAGGACCAACAAAAATGGCCATAGCACCCCCAAAGTATCCCCAATAAATGTATGTATATCTTATAGCTTTCGTAGATTGATTCGTGATTCATTTTATTTCTTTAATTCTTTTTTATTGAACAATATCCTGTAAGTCTCAGTCCAAACTCCAGCTCAGCATGTGCTCGCATTGTTACACCCTTCAACTGCAGTTAAAAAATAAACGGCATTCACAGACAACATAAAAGCTTCAGGAAAAACTAGTATAACACAGATTGTTTTTCAAAATTATTTAACATTACACTTGATCCCTTTAATGCACAACGCAAGCCATCAAAAGCCCCCCAATCCTTATCATAGTTTGAACAAGTTAAAGACCCCCTCTGATGAAAATCAAGTTTTAAACCTTGTTAACATCAATTTGATGTTTTTAATATAATACAAGATATATCATGATCAGTCAACACCATGACTGAGTGTTTCCACCTTGAACTGCAGGGAACCAATGACAGTCTCATGAAAACTGGTCCAGATAGCAAGAGTTTCATGAAGTGAGATTTGTCTCAATATTTGTGTGAACAGATCGACAATCCGTGAGTAAATGTGTGATCTGTAAATATAAAAAACCGTCCTACAAACAATACATTTGTAAACTTACAAAAAATATCTTGCCATTACACAAACAAATTCCACAAATAAAAAAATATATCTGTGAATATATTCAATTAATTTACAAATAAATGAAAGTTTAATTAAAATATAATTTTTAACCATTTTAGCAGCTGCATGTGGAGACAGTGGCATTTTAGTGGCACTTGATCTCAAAAATAAATAAGAAAAAATGAAAAAGAAAGCCGACATTCAAGTAGCCTGGAAACTCTATGTAGAGAGATAGAATCACATTGGGAACAACACAATTGGTGTCAACATGGATGCTTCTCCATAGCAGTTCAGCAATGTCAGCAGCCACTACTCACACAAAGCCAGCAGCGCAAGGAACCAATCCTGCCAATTTAGGGGGATGGGGGTTGGTCAAAATAAACCAGACACCTTATCAGTACTGCAAGCGAGAGTCTGCCGTAGCACAACCACTAACACTCTCAGCCACTCCCAGTTACAAGCTAACAAACAACATAAACAAATAAAACATGCTAACTATGCTAATCGTTCAATATTTAAACTCCTCACTCCTCAATAAACTCCTGACGTCTGACGTTTCCGCTGCTAAAAATCTTGATACTCCAGTCAACCTAGTACAAGCAGCGGTGGTGGGCGGGGCAAAAAGCCTGATCCAGAATTTCTCAACGAGGAAGTTAGCGTGGATGTTCTTCTAGCCCCAGTTTTCCTCTTTTTTTTCTCCACTTTTTTTCTGTTAGAGAACCATGTTAAAGAAAATATTAAACATAGCAAAGTGTTTTTACATAGGTTAAAACAGGTCTGTAGAGGAACTTTAACGCAATTTATTCATGAGACATCTTTACCATCCATTCCTGTTTTACTGACTGGGATGACCACGAAACAGCACTGTGGCTGAATGCATCATGTGGAGACACTGGCAGAGGACTGAACCTGCCGCCACTGCAATGTGTGTGTGTTGCTTTCGCCACAGGGCATAAATGTGGTGCACTTACACTGAAACTGCAAGATCAAGTGTAAACTTTATAGCCATCATACAACAGTCAGTTGTATGGTTGTTGATATATATATATATATATATATATATATAAATAAAAAGTTGAAGAAATTGGAGCAAACTGCGATCAACTTAACGGTGTGGCTAACCAATAACCTTAACAGACATCATGTAGCCTAAATCTCAGTGGGTACATTAACAAAATGAATACATGTACACTGGTTACACAGTCCTGTGCTTAGCCGCACTGTGCTACGTTATGCTAGGTTAGACCCAGTCAACAACACGCTAACCCTAACCTTTGACAACGTCTCCTGTTGAAGTAGAGGTAATGATGATGGTCACATAAATATACAGGGAACACATCAGATCACCATGAAATAAGGTCATGAAAGAATATCATTAGTAGAAAGTTGGTCTCATTCCATGGTGCAACATTAATTAGTACAAATTCAATTCTTGTAAAAGTGTTCATATTTCTTAAACTAGGATATTGCAGGTTCTGCAGAGGAATTCATTTCTACCTGAAGTGGGAGATTGAGATGATGACGAGCAGGTTTAGAGCGACAGTGAGCAGAGAGACGAAGGACAGCAGAATATTCAGGACCGACGCTTTGGACCAACGAGGTGCCGGCTCCCTGCAGGAGGTGTTGCAGAGGAAAGCAGAGGTCTGCTCCATCCTGGCTCTCCATCGGGGAGAGGAGGAGTGGAGAAGCTGCAGCTCTCTGTCTAAAGCTTTGTCATACAACACATTTATTTGTTTCTGCCTTCACCCCTCACCCCGTCTCTCTGGGTCTCTGTTGGACTTTGATGAATCACAACTTTGGCTCTCTTGGGTACCATGCCCTTTTGGATTAGAAGTAGTTTTATTGTTCTTTTGTTTATCAGAACTACAGTAAATGCAGGTTCACTGTATTTAACTAGTTGGTCAATCAGAAAATAAATAAATAAATAAAATCTAAACCATGGATAACTAAAATTACCGCCTTGTGGTTGTCTGTCTCCGCCACTCAGACTAATTTCAGATTACATCCCTGTTTATCCAGAATCATATAAAATATTCAGCATATGCACAAAAACCACTAAATTGATAAATAAACCTGCTGCAGCTACTGGCTAGTTGAAATTAGCCTGTTACTACAGCGACTGTTGCTACCGCTCGACCAGGGGTGGATTTAGTGATTTGGGGGCTGAAGGCAAACCCTGCTTTATTTTTACCCTTTCTCTAGTTGGGAATGTCTCCAAACTCTTCAGTAAACCTATTACATGGTACAAACACAGTCCATACGCTATCATTTATTTGTTGTAATCAAGGTCTCCGAAGACGCAGACCCTCTGACCAACGCTTTGTTCGGAGATCAGGGACAAATTTGCGGGCCACTATTTTGTCCCAGTCTGGCCCTGAGTACAAGAGCTTAAATTAAAATTGTTACAGCTTTAGCTGATATAAGACAGATATTTGAAAGATCTGATAAAGTCCAATTTCTGAGAGATATATTCAAGGCCAGTCCTGTGTTTTTGGTTTTTGGTTTTATCTGTTTTATGTATCTTTCTTTCGATTGTGCCTTTAGGTTTTTAAAGTTTTATTATGCTAGTTCTATGTTTCAACACACAGGGCCAGCACTTGTTTTAATTAAACCTGCAAATAAACTTCTGACTCTGATCAAGGCGGCAGGTGACTGTATACATATTTGATTTATAAATGAGCAGGATGGGACATCGTCATCTTTGTCAACCTTCACAAAACCATTCGTTTCAAATAAAAGCTGAATGTGTGATACAGGTCTTTCAGTTTTAGTTCAAATGCAATTTATAGAAAATAAAAACATATTTTTACTTCCTGTATTTGATAATTCATTCACAATACAACATGAACATATTCATTCATTACTGTGTTCATAGAGCAGGTGTCATCTCAGTCACTCCACAGCTTCTCTACAGTACGTTGGCCTCACGGGAGCCAGGCTGCAGAATCTGCAGAGTGACAACCAGTTTGATAACTTTTCTAAACCAGGGGTAGAACAAGGCGTAGATTATAGGGTTTAGACAGGAGTTAAAATAGATGATATAGAGCACACAGGCTGAAGATGAGCTATTGAGCAAGTCATCTCCTGCAAGAACAGCAATATAATGTGGGCAGAAACACATTAGAAACACAACTACAAGAACACCAAGAGTCCTGGCCGCTTTCAACTCAGATTTCTTTGTGGTTACAGCCACTGAACGCTGCAGTGTGACAGCTGTAATGTGAGAGCGCATGGCACGAGCCTGAGACACAGCCACCACAAACACTCTCATGTACAGAACTATGATGACAGTGATGGGAAGAACAAAGGTCAAAACAAGGTCAACAGCTCCTGCAGTATGATCAATGACAATCACACATTCTCCATAACAGGAGTTATGTCTGTCTGGATGAGTCAGGTCATCCTTTACTATGAGACTGTTGTAGAGAACAGAACAGAACCAACACAGACAAACACAGAGTTTAACTCTTCTCTCAGTGACTCTGGTGGTGTAATGCAGAGGGTCACAAATAGCTACATAACGGTCGACTGATATGAGCACCATGTCTCCTACTGAAGTAGAGGTAATGATGAAGGACACACAGTTACACAGGGAACACATCAGATCATCGCGATACCAGCAGACTGTGTTCAGGAGGATTTCTCCCGGCATCAGCAGGAGACCCACGAGAAAGTCTGAGACAGCCAGAGAGAGGAGGAGGATGTTAGTGGGAGTGTGGAGCTGCCTGGAGGGAAAAGAAATACATCATTATACCAACAAGGCCTCATAGCTACATGACAACAGAGTTTTAAATTAGTATCTTCCAATGCAATCATTTTCTGATCTACCACATCAGTTAAAATCACTTCCTTAAGGTCATTAATTAATCAAATGAATCTCTGCCTGAAGTGTGAGATCGAGATGATGACGAGCAGGTTGAGAGCGACAGTGAGCACAGACACAGACGACAGCAGAATATTCAGGAGCAACGCGTCGGACCAAGGAGGCATCGGCTTCCTGCAGGAGGTGTTGAGCTCTGGAAAACAGAAGTCTGCTCCGTCGTGAGTCTCCATCACCAGAGGAGAGGAGGAGAGGAGAAGCTGCAGCTCTGGCAGCTCTCTGTCATACAACACACTTATCTGTTTCTGCCTTCACCCCTCCCTCCATCCGTCAGGGAAGGTCTGTGTTGGACTCTGACGTAACACACTTTCATCATCTTCATCACTTTCACTCCAACCACGCTGACTGTTAATGTAGTTTTACTTTTTTTATTCTTGACTTTTAACAATGCAGTTATTGTCTTAATGTTTTTTGTTGACCACTTAAAATTATTTTTTCTTTTGAAGCATCAAGAATGTGTCGTGTTTTATTATATCCTAAATGTCACTATAGAGCAGATTGTCGTGCTATATGAAATTTAATGAATAGCACTTAATATGGCCCATGAAGAATAATTTTGAATTGCATGTGAAACATCAAGTTTATGTGACCTTTGATATCCACTGTTTATGTATATGAACAACAGTGGTGCATCTGATTTCTTCTAAATAAACACGTTTTAAAATAACCTGCTTATGAGTGTGACTGGGACAAAGTGGCAAAAACAATTGTGCCATAAAGAGAAGAAATGTGAAACATGTGAATTATGTACATTCTCTTCTGAAACAGGATCCGAGCACGTCAATAATCTCTTTGCAAAATGGACAAAAATCGAAGATGATGAAAGACGCTTGGACCAGAAACAGTCACAGAAATAGAAAGCTGTAGTTGCGCTTGTTTTCTGCTGAGTCGAAATGTTTCCTGTCACAAAGAAAATGGATTCTCGTGAAAAAAAAATGAATAACTGTGAATTTAAATCTTATGTGAAACTGGAGTATTACCTACAAAGAGTGTGTGGTGCTTATGCACAGGAGTCAGGCTGCAGGATCTGCAGAGTGACAACGAGTTCAACAGCTTTTCTAAACCAGGGGTAGAACAAGGTCCACCATGAAGCCTGAGACGGCCAGAGATCAGAGGATGAGGAGGTTGGTGGGTGTGTGAAGCTGCCGGGAAGGAAACAAAAGCATCATCAACCGTGTTGTCGCACAGTCATGGTGAATGAAGTGGCTGCACATGGCGGTTACTAGGTAATAAGGTAAACTCCTGTGTTTCTGTTACCAATCAAATAAAAGCATAGGCATCGGCCATTTCACGGACACAGGATTGGACATAACCAGGAAGAAAACAGAACAGCAGTAGGAAGAACCAAACGAGGTTTTTATTGGAAACCATGAAATTCTAAATTAGAAGTTCCTGTTCACAAAAAAACGGGACAATTCTTGTCTTGGGAAAGAATATTCATTTTCCTGGACAGTCGCGCAAAAAAGAGCAATCCAGGGAAAACTGGGACAGGCGTTTTCAGGTGTGACTGTTTGGATGGAGATCGTTTCTGATGTGGAGCTAAAACAGACGGAGATCATCTGGGTGATATCGTCTGCGTTTTAAAATCTTGTTTTTAAATGAAAACCTAGTTGCTCTTCCTGAGGTTCCACCGCTTTCTTTTACCCTGTTCAATGGCTTTTGATGTGAGTTTTTCCTTCTTGAATCATGGGTCTGAAGATAGCGGCTGTCATATACTGTGTAGATTTGAACTCCCCTTGAAGTAGCTGCACTAACTACTGCTAAGAAAATTAATTATTTGGCGCTTTAGCTGCTAAATGAAGCACCAAAGTGTTTGGTACAGTCGGTTTTTTAAAGCTTGAACACAGATGTCTGAGAGTGAACTGAGTAAAAAGACAGTGAAACCGTCTGTGGAGCTGAGGGCCGCTGTAGAGCCAGCGCCCCCCTCTCACTTTACACATGGTAATTTGATCTATCGCTAGTATTAAAATATATATTAATTGATTAAACAAATTCAATGTCACAACAGACATTATATCAACTGGAAAAAAAACCCATGATGTTTCAGCAACGATTGCATCACATGTTGATGTGTTGCATGGTGTGTTTATTAACACCTCTGATTGCAGCGACACCTCAGACGCTGAGATGTCGTCATGTGACACTCAGCCGCGCAGGTGTGAACGAGCTTCCTGTCGGGAGAGGTTCAGCTCACGGCCATTAGGAGCAGCTAATGGGCTGCTCAGCTCTCAGAGAGGCAAATGAAATCTCAGAGGGCCTAATTGTGTGTGTGTGTGTGTGTGTGTGTGTGTGTGTGTGTGTGTGTGTGTGTGTGTGTGTGTGTGTGTGTTATAGGTCTGCTGATTGCCACAGTACACAGGCAAATTTCAAAGGAAATGCACAGTAGATGGTCATTTTCATCAACAAACACTGGTCTATGGAGACATCAGTTGTTGCACCTAATTTTAGTTGTGCTCATTAAGTCCGTTGCATCATTCACACTAACTTTGTATTATTGGATAATATTTTATACATTGTATTTTTTACATATTATCGTCTTTAATGGCTGCTGCAGTTGTTGTGTAGTAGCACGGAGGATGTTTAATTGTGGCTTATGTCACATGAACACTCCTTGGTCACATTGCTCCTATATAAGTCAAAATATTATTATTTTTTACCTGCTAACCAGTAGCATTGCTGTATATTCAAATGCAGACTTGTGTTTCCATGGAGATCTTGAAATAAGATGCTCAGCCGCCTCAGTCGACCTTGTATCTGCAAGTTTTTCCACCACTGCCAGTTAAACCAGTCCACCAGTTGTTACTCACACTGGGAAACACCCCACAGACACATAAATACACCGAATAAGAATCACTCTCATACCAATTTTATTTCCACAGGAAACATGACGTGTTTGACAATATAAGCGATAAGACATATAAATTCATTTACATGTCACGTGCAGTGCAACAGTGTTTTATGTGAAGCAGTGGTAAAGTTAAAGTAGAGTAATGGACCATCGTGTCCCTGAGCTGCAGCCGATCACTTGTCGCACTTCATGGATCTGTCTGTGCTTTTTTTCCGTGACTGGATCCGTGCACATTTCGGACACCTCTTCTCCACAAAGCAGTGTTTGTGAAAGCAGGCCTTGCACACTGTGAAGAGAGAGGCAACCTTTATACGATATCATATACATATACAATAGCAAATATGTACATCGGGGGAAAATAGAGGTCATTTTGTACCAAAAAAAACACTAATAATTTGTAAGATACTTGCTTCATTAATCATGTTAGGAGACATTATTACAGCAACCAGTCACTCTCTTAACGCTCATATGGTATTTGTGCATCGTATGAAAACCAACAATTGGAAACTCTTGCTGTTGCAAACTTGCCAACTCCAGAAAACTAAAGTCATGTTAGAAAACGACTTATTTTGTTATTTGTATATATATAATCTCAAATCCTGCAAGTCTAATTTAATCAGCCTTCGTCAGAGCTCACCTGGACAGCGCCGACATATGTCTCGCTGGAAGGGGAAGATGATGTCTCTGTCTCGGCAGAACTCACAGATGAAACCTCGGGCCAGACAAAGCTGGGAGAAAGAAGCAGGAAAAAATGGTCAGAATAGAGTTCTGCAGGAACGAGTCAGAAAACCTGGACATTAGCTGCAAATTTAGCACTTCCTGTTCCCTTGTCCTGAAGTCTCTTTATTCGAATGGGTTTTATCTCGTGAAATATTTAATACTGTTAAAACTGATGTTGATCTGCCTGGAAACAGATCTGTACAAAGTGATTGAGCTTATTTACAGTTATAAGATTAAAAAATACTAATTTGCATAAATATTTATCCCCTCCAGGTGCAGTTGTGAGTGTGTGGGGGCATCTTTCTAAAAGTTTTTACCCTGAGGTTGGTGTTCAGGAGTGAACAGAGAACAAATTGAGAATACGAATATGAGAATCCTTCAAAATATCTGCAGACATTCAGTATTTCATAGCACGAACAATAATGAGATGCATGTGTATTTTCCAGATTTAAAAATTAATAATAATAATCCCACAGTGCTTCAGACTGACCTCACAGTTTTCAACATGGCTGATGGCGGCGTGCAGCACCGCTTTCGCCTGCGCCACGAGCTGACCCTTCTTCACCCGCAACAGGTCGTCCATGGAGAAGAGGGGCGGCTGCTCGAAGATCAGGTGAGCAGGAAGCTGCTCAAACTCAGTCATCACACTGAGACACGAGCACAGAACACAGTCACATTAACACAGTTTTCTCCTCATGACAAATGTCCTGTCTGTGGGACTTCGGCTGCAGGGTGTTTTTCTGGGTTGAAAACTGCATTTGAAGTTGAGTGTTTAGTTCTGACGTCACCTCAGACTGTGGGAAACTGCAATGGACATTTTCCACATTTTAAAAAGCAAGCAAACTAAGCCATAAATGTAACGCTGCTGTCATGGTTTGCAATGGCAGACACTTTTTGTTTGAGTTTTTTTGGACTTTTGTCACTTCCTGTTTTATTTTGTAGTTGGTTTCCTTTTGTGTCTCAGTGTTTTACTTCCTGTCTTGGTCCTGTTTCTCTGTGTGGTGATTGTCTGCCCCGCCCTCATGTGTTTCACCTGTGTTCAATCACCCTTGCCTCTCATGTGTCTATATAGTCTTTGTGCTCCCCTTTGTCTGTGTCGGTTCGTCTGTTCGTGTCTGGTTTGTCCTCGATCTGTTCATGTTGCCTGTTCTAGCAGCTGCGGTATCCCCTGCGTCCTGCGTCTCCGCTTGTTGTTCCTTGTGCGCCCTCGTGCTTTCCTGTTCTGTTGTTTCACCCGTTTTGTAAGTTCTTCAGTTATTAAACATGTTGGCACCTCATTCCCCTGTGTTGGCTGCGTTTGGGTCCAGCTTTACTCGCACCGTGACATGCTGTAATAAATGTTGTGTAAGTACAGTGTAAGTGTGTGTAAGTAAGAACATCTTTTTAATTATTTAGCTGGAGTAGGTTTTTGTTTGTAATACATCAGCATGCATTGCTGCTGTGTCTTTTCTGATACTGCCACTGGATGGTGCCAGACAAAGATATTTTCAAATCCTTCACACTGTGGCTTTATTAAAGCTCCATATTTTCTTCTTCTGTGTTTTATTTGAAGTGTTTATTCATAAGAAGATATATTTGTGGTTTCAAAAAGTTTTACATCTCCTCTCTCAGGCTTCTCTCTGGAGCTCTAGTAACAACAGGTCGGTGAGCCAATCAGAAGAGAGGAGGCTCTGAGCCTCTCTTCTGATTGGCTGACTGTTTTCTGAGTGATCCAATAAAAATATAGCAGATTTCAGGTAAAAAATCAGAAAAACCAAATCCTGCAAGGTTTGGATGGTGGGTCCAGGTGGGCGGGGCTTGGTGACTGCTTTGTTGTGACATCACAAAGTTCCAGAAGTCCTGACGGCTGGTTTTAAGGCTCAGTTTCTGAATACAGGCTGTGTGCATTTCTCTGTGGACTGAGGCTTTGATACTTTCACAGTATTAATATAGAAGCTAGAGCTGATCTATAATCACACTACACATGGACACAGACCTTTACACTGGAGCAGCTTTAAATTATGATTAGAATATGATCTTAATGTGGAAAAAGTTGAGTTAAGTTCATAAGATTGTCTGCAGTAAACAGTGACATTGAGTGTTGACAGAAAGTGAAATATTGTGTCTACCTTCCAGATAATCTGCAGGCTTTCAGCAGCTTCATGATGCCCAGCAGCTGCTCCTGCAGCTCCTGAAGGAAAGACGCAAACAAAGAAGGACGGAAGGAAATTTACGTAAACTTAAAAGTGAGTTCAACAATATTTTACTGGCTCTTTACACAAGTTATTGACAACAAATCAGTGGTGGTGTGCAACTTTAACTAATGCTCAGTGACAATGATTTGGTCTTGAACTCACCCTGAACTTGTCCAGCTCCTTCGCTCGGCTGCAGAGCATCTTTCCAACGCAGCTCAGGTCAAACAGAGGCTGATGCCAAACTGAGTCCAGCAGCTGTTTGGAGAAGTCGCTCACAGGATATCTGCAACATGAACATCAATATTATTTGATCAAGGGTCAAAGTGTGTCTGTGTTCCTTCTCCCACTGAGCTCAGCCTGATGTTTTATTAATAATAGCACCAACGATGCAAATGGCTCATATCAATTAATCATCAAAACTGCTTCCAATTCATTTCCTGTTGATTGACTCATCAGTGATGAATTAACCAACATTGGTAAAAACCTGTTACCAAAAGGTTTTTGAGAGTTGTATTAAACAGCAGCTGTATTAATATTTACCATGTTTATTACTGTATTAGTATCAATAATGATATTAGAAGACATCAGTGACAGATATTAATATTATCAGGAGTTGAAATCTAATCATTCTTGTACCTGCTGAAGTCCCAGCCGGACAGAACTCGACCAGGAATCACAGCTTCAGAGCCGCTGTGGCAGCAGTCACAGAAATACCTGCCAAAGTCACATTAATATTGATTATCTAAAAAATATAAGTGGAAAATGTTGTATTCATTTAATATATAGCGTAATGTTATATTGATATATTGTTGTATTGATAACAGTAAATTATTCCACATACCGGCCAAGGTAATCACAGTACCGCAGCTTCTTGATGTACCCTGGTGGCAGAGAGAGTTTATTAGCTCGTAGCTGTGGTGATTATCATCTGCTTCCTGTGTCTTAAAATGTAAATAATCTCAAGAGGACAGGCAATAAAAAAAATAGAAACTTTCCTTTTAAATTACTGCTTGTGTTTTAATGAGCTGCTGCTGTGTGTTGTCTGACTTCAGCGCCCCTCAGTGGTCCAATCACAAAATACTGCAATGAACACTGACGGAACAACTGCACCAACTTTCACCACGACCATCAGAAATCATTGGAACAACAACAAGACTAAGTGCTTTTATATTTTACACATTATTTATACATTCATCATTTTTAGCTTTTGCATTCAAGTTTTTTACTGTGGTCATTTGTTATTTATCATTTTAATATAAAAATTTCTGTTTTTATTTCCTTTTTCGTTTCAACGTCACGTTACCACTCAGCGATCTAAAGGAAAACTGTAATTATTTCCTGTTTTCTCCTGAACCTATCATGATGTCCAGCACATTGATGCTGAATGTAGCTGAATAAATGATAAAAAAAACAACAGTACATTAAATTCAAGCATTTCCAGGTCTGCATCCAGTAATTTCAGTTCTTTTAATTCTATTTAATTTAAATTTTACTTCTTTAGCGGTTTGGAGGAAGTCTCGTTCTCTTTTTGTCTTTATGTTCTGTTAGTAGAAACATGTTCTACTTGTCTGGCTCGGCCTCCTGTGGAGTCAACAGTTTAACTGGGATTATCTTTAACACCAGTACTCACTGGGCTCCACCTCCGTCCCGCAGCCTGCACACAGGAAGTGTTGTAAGGCCACTACCTCACTGCGTCTGGAGGAGGAAACAGAAACACAGTCAGACTTTTCTCTGCTGGTTTGTTTCTTTTATTTATATATATATAGTTTTTTGTATGAGATGTGATGAAGACCTGAGTGTCGGCTGAACGGTGAAGATGATCTGGAAGCGAGGAGGCGCCCAGTTCAGGGATCCTCTCATCCTGGTCCTGAGTCTGATCTCCTCGGTCAGTCTGCCGCCGCTCTCAGCGACACTTCCTGCACCTGGCAGCTTGCGACAACAGAGAGGAGAGGGGAGACAGTTTACGGCCTGACAGTTCAGGACTGTGTCTCGTGGCAACAGCAGACAAACAGGGGCCAGAAAGTAAAATTAGAAAATATTAAACAGGTCTGAAAGTCAGGGAATCAAAGTCTCGGAGGTTCTTCCTCTGGGGACCAGGAATGCTCGGGATGAAGTTCATGGTAGTTTGTCAGATTTTTCTAGAGATTTCTCACTTTTGGTAAAAGTGTTTTACAAACTGACATTGCCATCACAGAAGCTCGATTTTTAGAGGTGGCAGGGAGGAGATGGAGTGATTGATTCACCGTGGATGTATTAAGAAAGCTGGACTCCAGCCCTGCCTCAGTGGTCAACTGCAGTACTGCAACTAATGAATCTCCTGTGGCCCAAACTAATTTTCTAAAGGATCCGTCTGCATGCTGCAATACTTAGTTACGCCCACTTTATATTACATCATAGCGCTGTGCTGCTAGCTGCTGTGTAGGACCGCGGGAAACACTAGCCACGTTTCCATCGCAGTTTTGCGAAACATAGAAGAGATTTTTTTTTTAAAAGTTGACAAAACATCATTGCGAATGTTCTGTGTTTCCATTGAGTGATATTATGTGAATAAAACTTAAAGTCCAATAAAACTTCTGCTCCCTGGGGCCGGATACGACAGGAAACCCCCAGACCTCCATTATGTGTAACAGCAAGCGAGTTCAGTTACTTCTCTTTGTATGTTTTATATCAGTGAAACTTTCAAAGAGCCTAGAGAAGCAGTTTTTATGTGTGTCGTGTCGTCCCGACAGGCTGAGCCTCACGCAATGTGGAAGCAAACCAGGAAGTGGTTTATGTGCTTCCATCTTGGAGTCCCACATAATCACAAACTGAGGTGAAATAAAACACGTCTTTGTGGCTTTAACAGCTCGGAGGGAACAAACGAACCATCAGCCACCTTCATCTGTCAGACATTTTTTTTAATATTTGTCCCTGCGGCTGTCGTCCACGTTCTCACCTCCTGAAGCGACGTGCGGAGGCTTTGACGTCCACGCTGAGGCTTGTGGGAAGGAAGCCAGCTCCTCCTGAACTCCAGCACCAGCTGCTGGGCCAGCCACTCTGCACTGCATTATGGGAGGAAAAAAAAAAATCACAAAATCAGAACAAACACATAAGATTTTGGGTGGAGCATTTAAGTTTGTTTTTCTTACTTTGTGAGAGAGTCTTTCAGTGTCAGTGCCGCGTCCACTCCGCAGTCTGACATTAAAACACACAATATGATATTCAGGAGTGTTGTATTCATGTGTGGAGCAATTCAAGGAAGAAGAAAATACATGATACATGTTATATATTACATCATTTTACCTTCAAATCCACTGTCAGAGGAGATGACAGAGGGCGTCTTTGGTTGATGCTCAGCCTCATCGTTCCCTGTGTCCTCCTCCTCCTCCTCCTGTGTGCGTTGGTTGGTGTGTACGTAATGAGAAGAGTGTGTGTTTCTGTGTGATAACTCATCGCTTCCTTGTTCGCAGCTCTGTGTGAGTCCGTGTGCTGTACGCCTCTGTGTGTGTTCACGTGCAGGACTGTCCTCTGCAGAGCTCGTGCCCGTGCGTGTGGACATGTCGCAGTCCGTGTGTCGCCGTGTGTCCGTCGTGGACGTCCGTCGCTCAGAGCTCAGAGTCCACTTCACGCCTTCCAGCACCTCCAGCACCATGTCCACCACGATGAAGTGAGCGTTTTCCTGCACACACGGTCATTCACAGTTTTTAACCACCAATGTCATTTCCATATTTTCATCGTGAGCCAAGAAGCCTTCGTAGTTCATTTAAATTTAAATTTTGATATTTACCTGGTGTATATTTTCACTCACATTTGATATTTTTACACGAATAATGTTTTAAAACTACCGAAAAGAAACTGAACTAAAAGTTGGTCACGGACCTTTTCCAGCTCACAACTGGTCTTGAAGATATCAGTGAATTCTGGGATACCACTGTGATGCCTCTGTTTGCTGTGTGCAGCTGAGGTAGAAAGTCCTGACACACACACACACATGCACATGCACATGCACATAAACACAAAAGAATACCTGTGATACTGAACATTTATTTTTATATTGCAGTACTTAAAAAAGTTTCATATTTGCAGTTTTATAAATATAGTTATATTAGATAAGCTCTGCAGCTAACGGATTATGGAGGCAAAGGACATCTCCATGAGTTTGTCCTTAACTGAGAGTTTTATTGGGAATAAACTGCGGCTCACTTCAGTTACAGCAGGTGTATTCTGTGCATGTAAACACGAGGTAGCTACACCTGCAATATGTAATCGTATTCTACCTGGTGTGTGAGTGGCGTCACAGCCGGTCAGTCGCCGGCCTTTGTTCTCCTCGGCCAATCCCTGCTGTCCAGTGAAGGGCAGGTGGAACAGAGAGATCAGGAAGTTGTTCAGATTTGAAGAGACTGAGACGCAGCGCTGCTTCTTGTCCTCCTGGAGCGGGGATGAGCGCTGCTGACCGGAACTGGGTTTGGACCCCAGATCCTCCAAACTGGCGACTGTCGGGCGTCCACGCTGATCCTGAGACAGTGAAGCAGCAGCAGGAGACGGAGAGTCCAGGCTGGAAGAAGCAAAGTTTCACTTTAGTCATATAAACAGAGATGATGAAAGTACTTCAAATATTCAAGACCAAACAGAGCTAAAAGAGAGGGAGTACTGCTCACAGCTTGTAAAATCTGTTATCACAGGTTTAAGAGAAATAAATCCATAGCAGCAATCGAGCTAATTAAACTTTTTCTTTCTTTCTGAAAATCTGACTGAACTTACCTACATTGAAAATTTCCCAAACATAACACTGTGAAAAAATGTGAATTGTTTTCATGTCAGATGTAGATGAAACCCTCAAAGCGGTTCAAGCTGAAGAGTATATTCAGATAAGAGCGTCTGTCAGAGATGGTTGAAGTATGTCACTGTAGATAATTTCAAATTTGCTGTGATCTGTTGTTTTGGTGATTTCTCTGCTGTAAAGTCAGTGTAAAGTCCGATATTGGCCTTTCAATTGGCTGATTGGCCTGTTACCATGGCGTCTCCTGGTTTCTGGTTTCTTCCACTCGCTGGTGAATCCGGTGACACTTGTTAACCTGTGTAGTTTTTTGTATTGATGTATTTGTATTTTATTCCTTATTACTGACCATACATTCAGACTTTACTGTCAGCTGGTATGTAAACAGTGACAGCAGCTGAAACAGCAGATAAGGAATTTAAAGTCGGTTTGGTGACAGTGAAAATGGCTTTAACACTGAAAGCAACAAAAACTACATTGTATATTTAAAGTATTATAATCTATTGAAATAAAATAAGATAAAATAAAAACAATAAAACTAACATTCATTTCCTGTTTCCTCTGCACCACAACTCTCAGGACATTTAGACTGAAAGTCAGGGACAGTAAACTCTGGTTAAAGGGGAAGTCAGGTTACCACGGTAACATGTAAAGACCTTAATCTGGACCTTCACTGTGACAACAGGTCAGTGGACACATATACACTGTACACACTAACACTATGTAATCTAGTGGTTTTAAAAATCCCTCCCTGTGGCGCCATCCAGTGGTGACATCACAGCAGCCTGCCCCAGTCCTCACTGTCCCATCAGCATCCACTTCACACAGTAATGTTCCAAAAGATGCTTTAATCACGTTAAAGTTCAAGACATAACTCGAAATGCATGAAGGATCAATAGCGTTGCTATGGTAACCTGAAGTTTAAAATATGTTAAAGAAGCCCTAATGAGGTTTTACATACAGTACATATACATATCAAAGACTGTTGTTGTTATTGTTATTATTATTGTTATTATCATTATTGTTATTGTTACTACTATAATTATTATTATTATTATTATTATTGTTGTTATCATTATTATTACTATTATTATTATTATTATTATTATTATTATCATTACTATTATTATTATTATTATTATTATTATTATTATTATTGGAGTAATAGTAAAAAGAGTAGTAATAAATTACACTGCATTATATCACTACATAATAATACTATATTACTACTATTATTAGTCCTTTTTTACATTATATGCTCTATCATGGTATTCTTTTCTATATCTATTATCTCTCGCTTTTCATAGTGATATTACTGTAATGTGTGCATATTATTATTTCACATGTTATATGTTACATAGTTTTCACTTTTTTTTAAAATCAAGATTCCCTCCCGGTTTATTAATATTTGGTTTGCACCCTCGTCTTGACTCTCTTCCAGATTTATCAACTCAACCCTGATCTGAAGCTCCACGTGTGACTGTGGTGTGTGTCCTGTTCGCTCGTCACTCCGGCTGCTCTGTGGTTCGTTACCTTGAAGGATCAGACGTGTCGGTCTCCCCTCCGTGCCAGGAGACGGGCCTGTGGCGTCTGGAGATGACCGGACTGCTCTTGGGGAGGAGCATCCTCTCGACCTCTGGGTGCAGAAGAGACGGGTCGTCCCCCCTCCTTCGGCCTTCCTCACTCTCATCATCCTCACCCTCTTCACTGTGACTGTTAGTGGCTTTGTCAGTGTTGTGCGAAGCAGAGCTGGAGTGAGCGTTTAACCGGGAGGGATGGGAACATATGAAGGCCTTGTTTTTCTTTTGTGTCCTCTCTGTAGAAGTTGTCTGTGGAGGTTGACGGGAACATGTGGGTTCTGGTGGTGACAGGAGGAGGAGCGGGATCGATCCTGAACCAGCTGACTGATGCTTTGAGTGAGAACTTTGTCCTGGAGAGGAAGACACTAAAACAGAGGAGGGAGACAGAGGAGGACATGGTTTACCTCATCAATACGTATTTCAAATTAAAAGCCTACAAGGAACAGGTGGGCTTTTAATGTGAAACATGGACAGCAGTTTAACAGTGAGAGAAAAGCTACAGCCATTAATTAGTGAATGAAAACAGTGTAAGTGGTTGAGAAGAGAAAGTGAAAGCAGCAGAGGGGAGAGTGTGACGTAAATGATGGATCTGGAGCCGTGGGAATGAACATTGTACTCAGGTTATTAAGATAACGTAAAGATGGAGGAAGGGTTGAGTTTACATTAACAGCAAATGACTTCTTATTAAAGAGGAGAAAATACAGAATATACAGGAAAAATGACAAATAAAGACTTGTTAGATAAAATATAAGATTCACTGTATTGATTCCAATAATAACAGTTGCACAGAATAGATAAGAGAAGTAAGTTAACACCATTATACTAGAAGATAAGCTCAAACTATGTGATCATGTTACATGTTTGGAATAGTGAGAATGAAATGAGAAATTACAGAACTATATTTAATATTAAATTTGAGGGTTATATGAATAATAGATCCTTAATCCCTAAAGGTTTCATCAGAGCTTGGTACACCTGTTCTGACAGCGTGGTGGATCTTACCTTTAGCTGTCGGAGCTGTGGCGTCAGGTGTTAGTGACTCTGCGAGTGAGTCCACGCACCAGCTGACGTACCCGGACCTGCAGACAGAGGAGGACATGCCCCTGCAGGTTCCCATCTGCTGAGGAGGAGAGTGAGTGAGTGAGTGAACAGCTCTGAGTGATTCCTGATTTTACCCAGTGACAGAAAGAACTGACTCACATGTCGTCCTATCTTTCTGTCTGTTGACGTGTGCAGGAAGTTTTATCATTTCCGCTGTAATTCCTCCTGATTAAGATCCTTAAACAACTTTCAGGCCTTTAGAAGTCAAAAGTCAAAGTCTAAAGGCTCATGATTATCACCCTCAGTAACACTGACAGCTCAGTTCAGACAGCTGTTGCTTATGTTGTTATGGACAGCAGTCTTACTGTATGAAGGTATTTAAGGGAAGAAATGGAGGATAACTGGATGATTTTAAGGTGGTAGAAAGAGAAGTGATGGTAGAAGACAGATTTTGGGTGTTTACAAATTCTGGCAATTTCACCATTTCAAACCCATCACTGCCACTCCCAGTCACAATCACAATCGCAGGTGTTTGTCAAGAACTGTGACGTCACAGACAAGATCTGCACTTGTGCAAGTCAGAATTTCAATCTGGATGTGACAAATCTTTAAAATAAAAAAAATATTTCTTTAACTCAAATCTAATCAACATCCCTTAAAAATATTTTCCACTCATTTATTACAATTACAAATCTTATTACAGCCACTACTGAAAAAGTACTGAGCAGCTGTGTAAAGATAACACAAACTTAAGTGATGCAGTCTGTATATATAAAATAAGTGTTTTTAAAAGGGTTTGAAAATGATTGAAGCGTTGACTCTCGCCTCCTGCTTCCAGAGTCGAGGTGCCCTGACTCTCAACTTCTGCTTTTGTTGACCTCAACCTGGCACACCGGCCTGCTCGGGGGATTTCAGGCTGCACTTTCAAACCCTTCAGTGAAACCTCTAAAGCAAAGAGTAGGGATGTTTAAAACTGTCCTGTTAGATGTGGTCTAACTGTGAACGTGGTGTGAGTACAGTTTCATTTCAGAACATAGAGGCTGTCATCACGAGTCACAAATAAACATGAAAGGTAACACTTCTATTGAACCACAATATACAGCACTGAGTTATAACAAAAATGATCCCTTCAAAAATTTAATGTCAATTTAAAAAAGGACTGAGATCATTAGAGAAGAAGTGAAAAAAGCAGTAATTCATAATATATATTATATTATATTTTTATGCTAATAGAGAAATCTGAAAAACAAAACAGTCGGTTTGAGAATTTAAATTTTCCCCAAACATTTCGGAAAAAAAACGTTTTATTTTTTACTGTGTTAAAGACTCGAGGACTGAGAACAGTGTTGGTTTTGAATCAGGCTAAAACCTGCAGAGTTTTATTCAGATTTTACAAAAAGTAAAATTGGGTTTAACATGTTGATTTACACTGATCTGGTTTAATGAGGCTGATTCATGCAGCAGAGCTTCCTGTGCAAGTACAGAAGTCATTTCTGATTGTAACTGATAACGTCTTGAAGAGCTAAGAAGGTTCCGATTTTAGTAAGGCAAAGTTCACTGGACCGTAGAGCAGAGTGGAGCGACACTGAACGAAGCTCAAACAACTAAAAACTTCTTAGAAAATAAATCAAAAGACTTACCGTCTTGTAAACCCCGAAACTGAAGCAGTGAGGAAACCTGTCAGGGGCTGGAGGCACTGAAACGAGTCCTCATCCACCAAATACTAACACGCAGAAAGGAAGAGGCGGCTGATATCAACACTTCCTGTATTAACAATAGTTTTTCTCTCTGTGGCTGAGCAGTCTGCAGCTCCTGAGAACAGAAAGGACAAGAAACTCTCATCACAACAGACACCTGACCTTTCCTCAAGCCACTTACCCCCCAAACAACAATCCCAACAAATGTTAGAATTGTAAGGTCACTTATTTCTTCTTTAATCTGGATTTTTAATGACAGTAAATTTGCATCAACCCAGGCTTTTATTTTTGAGTCTTACTTTCTTCCTGTAAAGACTGAACTAGGATTTTGCAAACCACAACAGGAGCTACATGTTACATGTAAAAGTTATATTGGTGCATCTTCCGCAATCTACCAGTAAGGCTTCGCTCAGCAGAAATGTTTGCCACAAAGCGTCTCAGGCCGGTGGATTGAGGGACTGTCACGACAGCTGGCAGCTGCTGGAGGAGAAAGAGGAAGTTTTCACTCAGAGTAAAAGTATCAGTTTGTTTGATTTACCTCCATGTTTACAGATAATATTATAGAGAAAAAATAGAACCAGCTTAGACTCAGTCCTTCTGAGAGGAAACGTGTCCATGCACATGAATGTGACACAAACACATGCTTTGTTATGATTTTATATATTCAAAAACGTGCTCAATTAAAACTAAGTAGTTACCAACCTTTTAAAATGCCTTGAAGGTTTGTACCATGGGTTAGATTTTCATGTAAGACTGGTTGAGAGTTAAGTAATCAGTGATAAGCACTCTTTATCTGCTGATGCAAGCTTCTTATGTAATCAGTTGACTCAGTTCAATGGCTTACTATAATATGTTTTGTTTTGACATTTTAATGCCTTACTACACTATGACATTTTTTGAAGTTTTTATACCTTATTATGCTATTACATTTTTTGACTTTTTGATGCCTCAATAAACAATGTCATTTTCATACCTTACTACACTATGACTTTTTTTTGACGTTTTTATGATTTATTATACTATGGCATTTCACAACGTTTTTATGGCTTATTATATTATTACTTTTCATGTATTTCTATAATATGATGTTTATTTTGTTTTTGTCTTACTATAGTATAACATTTGTTGAGGTTTTTATGCCTTACTATACTATGACGTTTTTTGATGTTTTTATGCCTTACAATACTATGATGTTTTTTGACGGTTTTATTGCTTACTATGCGATGATGTTTTCATACCTTGCTATACTATGACATTTTTTGATGTTTTTATGCCTTACAATACTATGATGTTTTTTGACGTTTTTATGCCTTTTTGTACTATGATGTTTTTTGATGTTTTTATGACTTATTATACATGACTTTTCATGACATTTTTATACCTGATAATACTATGACGTTTTTTTATGTTTTTATGCCTTACTATACTATGACGGTTTTTTGGAGGTTTTATGCGTTATTGTACTATGGCGTTTTCATGCCTTATTGTACTATGATGTTTTTTGATGTTTTTATGCCTGACAATACCATGATGTTTTTCAACGTTTTTATGCCTTATTGTACTATGGCGTTTTCATGCATTACTATGCTATGATATTTTTTGGTGTTTTTATGCCTTTCTGTACTATGACGTTTTTTGATGTTTTTATGCCTTACAATACTATGATGTTTTTTGACGGTTTTATTGCTTACTATGCGATGATGTTTTCATATCTTCCAATACTATGACGTTTTTTGATGTTTTCATACCTTACTATACTATGACGTTTTTGGATGTGTTTATGCCTTACTATGCGATGATATTTTCTCGTGTTTTTATGCCTTATTATACCAGGGCATTTCACAACGTTTTTATGGCTTATTATCCCGTGACGTTTCATGACGTTTTTATACCTTACTATACTATGACGTTTTTGGATGTGTTTATGCCTTACTATGCGATGATATTTTCTCGTGTTTTTATGCCTTATTATACCAGGGCATTTCACAACGTTTTTATGGCTTATTATACCGTGACGTTTCATGACGTTTTTATACCTTACTATACTATGACTTTTTTTGATGTTTTTATGCCTTACTACATGATGAGGTTTTCATACCTTACTATACTATGACCTTTTATGACGTTTTCATGCCTTACTATACTATGACTTTTTTTGAAGTTTTTATGCCTTACTATACGATGATGTTTTCATACCTTACTATACTATGACGTTTTTTGATGTTTTTATGCCTTCCTATGCGATGATGTTTTCATCCCTTACAATACTATGATGTTTTTTGACGGTTTTATGCCTTACAATACTATGAAGTTTTTTGATGTTTTTATGCCTTCCTATGCGATGATGTTTTCATCCCTTACAATACTATGATGTTTTTTGACGTTTTTATGCCTTATTGTACTATGGCGTTTTCATGCCTTACTATGCTATGATATTTTTTCGTGTTTTTATGCCTTTCTGTACTATGAAGTTTTTTGATGTTTTTATGCCTTACAATACTATGATGTTTTTTGACGGTTTTATGCCTTACAATACTATGATGTTTTTTGACGGTTTTATTGCTTACTATGCGATGATGTTTTCATACCTTACTATACTATGACATTTTTTGATGTTTTTATGCCTTACAATACTATGATGTTTTTTGACGTTTTTATGCCTTTCTGTACTATGATGTTTTTTTATGTTTTTATGCCTTACAATACCATGATGTTTTTTGACGTTTTTATGCCTTATTGTACTATGGCGTTTTCATGCATTACTATGCTATGATATTTTTTGGTGTTTTTATGCCTTTCTGTACTATGATGTTTTTTTATGTTTTTTTGCCCTTCTGTACTATGACTTTTTTATGTTTTTATGCCTTACAATACTATGATGTTTTTTGATGTTTTTATGCCTTTCTGTACTATGACTTTTTTTGAAGTTTTTACGCCTTACTATGTGATGATGTTTTTATGCCTTACTATACTATGATGTTTTTTGACGTTTTTATGCCTTATTGTACTATGGCGTTTTCATGCCTTACTATGCTATGATATTTTTCCGTGTTTTTATGCCTTTCTGTGCTATGACGTTTTTTGATGTTTTTATGCCTTACAATACTATGATATTTTTTGATGGTTTAATGGCTTACTATGCGATGATGTTTTCATACCTTACTATACTATGACGTCTTTTGATGTTTCTATGCCTTACTTTACTATGACATTTTTTGATGTTTTTATGCCTTACTATACTATGACGTTTTTTGATGTTTTCATGCCTTACAATGCTATGATGTTTTTTGACGGTTTTATGCCTTACTATGCTATGACATTTTTTTAATGTTTTTATGCCTTACAATACTATGATGTTTTTCGACGTTTTTATGCCTTATTGTACTATGACGTTTTTTTTATGTTTTTATGCCTTACTATACTATGACGGTTTTTTGGAGGTTTTATGCCTTATTGTACTATGGCGTTTTCATGCCTTACTATGCAATGATATTTTTTTGTGTTTTTATGCCTTTCTGTACTATGACATTTTTTGATGTTTTTATGCCTTACTATACTATGATGTTTTTTGACGGTTTTATGCCTTACTATGCGATGATGTTTTCATACCTTTTCTATACTATGACGTTTTTTGATGTTTCTATGCCTTACTATACTATGATGTTTTTTGACGTTTTTGTGCCTTTCTGTACTATGATGTTTTTATGACTTATTATACATGACTTTTCATGACGTTTTTATACCTTACAATACTATGATGTTTTTTGACGTTTTTATGCCTTATTGTACTATGACGTTTTTTGGGGTTTTTATGCATTACTATACTATGACGTTTTTTGATGTTTTCATGCCTTACAATGCTATGATGTTTTTTGACGGTTATATGCCTTACTATGCGATGATGTTTTCATACCTTACTATACTATTACATTTTTTTATGTTTTTATGCCTTACAATACTATGATGTTTTTCGACGTTTTTATGCCTTATTGTACTATGACGTTTTTTTTATGTTTTTATGCCTTACTATACTATGACGGTTTTTTGGAGGTTTTATGCCTTATTGTACTATGGCGTTTTCATGCCTTACTATGCAATGATATTTTTTTGTGTTTTTATGCCTTTCTGTACTATGACATTTTTTGATGTTTTTATGCCTTACTATACTATGATGTTTTTTGACGGTTTTATGCCTTACTATGCGATGATGTTTTCATACCTTTTCTATACTATGACGTTTTTTGATGTTTCTATGCCTTACTATACTATGATGTTTTTTGACGTTTTTGTGCCTTTCTGTACTATGATGTTTTTATGACTTATTATACATGACTTTTCATGACGTTTTTATACCTTACAATACTATGATGTTTTTTTTATGTTTTTATGCCTTACTATACTATGACGGATTTTTGGAGGTTTTATGCGTTATTGTACTATGGCGTTTTCATGCCTCATTGTACTATGATGTTTTTTGATGTTTTTATGCCTTATTGTACTATGACGTTTTTTGGGGTTTTTATGCATTACTATACTATGACGTTTTTTGATGTTTTCATGCCTTACAATGCTATGATGTTTTTTGACGGTTATATGCCTTACTATGCGATGATGTTTTCATACCTTACTATACTATTACATTTTTTTATGTTTTTATGCCTTACAATACTATGATGTTTTTCGACGTTTTCATGCCTTTCTGTACTATGACGTTTTTTGATGTTTTTATGCCTTACTATACTATGACGGTTTTTTGGAGGTTTTATGCGTTATTGTACTATGGCGTTTTCATGCCTTATTGTACTATGATGTTTTTGAAGTTTTTATGCCTTATTGTACTATGATGTTTTTTGATGTTTTTATGCCTTATTGTACTATGACTTTTTTTGGCGTTTTTATGCCTTATTATACCAGGGCATTTCACAACGTTTTTATGGCTTATTAAACTGTGAGTTTCATGACGTTTTTAAAACTTACTATACTATGACTTTTTTTGATTTTTTTATGCCTTACTACACG